TGTCAAGGAACTCTACTGGGAGGGCAGCGCGGTAGCGAGTGTCGCTAGTGCGAAGGTGGGAAACGAGGTCCTCGACTGTGGCAAAGGCGGACAGCTCGGGAAACAGGTAGGGCAGTAGAAGATGGTATAGAGCAGCAATGGCAGACGAGGAGTAACGGGCGACTACAGCGTCGTACATGTGAAGATAGTAGGTAGAGTTAGGAGCCATAGCTAGGTAAGTCCTAGCTAGGCAAGAAACAGTTTAGGCAAAAGAGGGGTTTTCACTAGCAGCAATGAGGATACATATAGCAAACCCTAGATGGGTTGTACTCGCTATAGAGCACCCCACTACAGGCTAGAGAATGACATTCTGACACACCCCCATAGCCAAAGTGGGGTGTAATCAGTACAATGAGCAAGCAGGTATAGAGCAGGAGTTCACAAAGGTAAGCAAAGCTAGAGCTAATCACAGCGGGCAAGTGAGGAGGAGGAGGAGCTGTGGAGGTAGAGAAGATGGGAGGCAACGACTGAAGCTGCAGAGGCACGGGCACAGGAGCGGCTGACTCAGAGGCTACCGAAGCAAGGGCGACGGACTACTGGAGTAACTGGCTCGGCGGCTATAGAAGAGCGGCAGGAGCAACGGACCCACTGGCGACTGGTGCAGCAGGCTCACTGGCTACCGAAGCAAGGGCGACGGACTACAGGCGCTGCAGGCGACACGACAGGTACCTCCACACAACCTCCTCCAACTGCCACACACCCACTGCTCAAACCCTAGCTCCACTCCCACGCACCCCCCTAAAACCCTAAACCCCAGTCTCCCACTCATCCACCCCCCTCAGCGACAGCTGCAGCAGTGGGAGACAAAGGAGGAGGAGGAGAAGGGCACGGCGCGCACAACGGGCACCCCCACAACCACCACCCCCACACTCCTCACCCCCAAACCCTAAAACGGGTGGGATAGGGGCAGGAGCGCGGGGGACGGAGAGGGGGGGGAAGGCGCGCGCCTCTAGGGCGCCAGAACGGACGGGTGGGGCGAGGGAAGGGGCGTGGCGCGCGCTGCTCCCCTGGGCGCCGCGACGGACGGGCGGGGGGGACGCGCGCGCGGCTCCCCAGGGCGCCGCGACGGCCTGGCGGGGCGCGCGCGGCCTCCCGAGGGCGCCGCGACGAGCTGATGGGGCGCGCGCGGCCTCCCCAGGACGTCGCGACGACCACGCAGGGCACCCGCTGGCTCCCCAGTGCGTCGCGACCGACGGGCGGGGCGCTCGCGGGCTCCCGAGGGCGTCGCGACGGACGGACGGGGGGCTCGCGGGCTCCCCAGCGCGCCGCGACGGGCAGGGCGGGGGGCCGCGCGTGCTCCCCAGGGCTCCGCGACGGACGGGCGGGGCGCGCGCTGGCTCCCCCACAGCAGTAAACCGCCGCGCGCCTCGGGGCGCACGGCGGGCAGAAAACCGCCGCGCGCCCCGAGCGCGCGGCGGGATGAAAAATAAGAGGCCGCGCACCACGGGGCGCGCGACACAGCGTAGGGCAGCGGAAGCAGTAGGAGGGCCCACAGGCCAGGAGCGTATGTGCTCTGATTCCATGTGAAGATAGTAGGTAGAGTTAGGAGCCATAGCTAGGTAAGTCCTAGCTAGGCAAGAAACAGTTTAGGCAAAAGAGGGGTTTTCACTAGCAGCAATGAGGATACATATAGCAAACCCTAGATGGGTTGTACTCGCTATAGAGCACCCCACTACAGGCTAGAGAATGACATTCTGACACTACAGTGTCTGTGCAGTCAGTCCTGTGCTGTCCGAAGTGAGCGCATTCAGCCAACAGCAAGTGGTTGCGAATGGCTAAGCAGGCAGCAGCGTCACGAGTAAGCCACTGTGAGCGAGTCGCACTGTCAGCTGTGACGGGAGGGGCGGGAGCGGCTCCAGACGTGTGGTCAAACAACAAAACACTGTCTCTAGAGTCGCTCAGTAGGTACAGCTGCAGGTCGTCGAGCCACGTGTCAAACTGGATAGGGCGGCCCTCATGATCGAACGCGAGAATGCGGAGAGAAGCCATAGCAGCGCAGCACGCAGGGCTGGCAGAAGTCGGACAGCAGCAGGGCACAGGGCAGGCAACAGCAAGGGGCTGCAAGAGGCAGTGCGCAGGCTGCAAGAGTTGCGAGAGGGCCGCAAGGGGCGGCTAGCAGGGCAGCAGGGGCGGCTAGAGGGCCACCAGGGGCGGCGCGCGGGGCCGCAAGGGCGGCTCGCGGGCTGCAGGGGAGAGGGGCGGGCCGCAATGGGCGGCGCGCGGGGTCTAGGGTCGACAGGCAGGCCGCAAGGGGCGGCGCGCGGGGCAGCAGAGGCGACAGGCGGGCCTGGGCCGAGGGTCGACGAGCGGGCCAGGGCCTAGGGGCGACAGGCGGGCCGGGCTAGGGTCGACGGGCGGGCCGGGCCTAGGGTCGACGGGCGGGCGCCGGGGCCTAGGGTCGACGGGGCGGGCCGGGGCCTAGGGTCGACGGGAGGGGCCGGGGCCTAGGGTCAACGGGGCGCGCGGGGCCTAGGGTCGACGGGGCGGGCTGGGGCCTAGGGTTGACGGGAGGGGCCGGGAGGGGCCGGGGCCTAGGGACGACGGGGCGCGTGGGGCCTAGGGACGACGGGGCGGGCCGGGGCCTAGGGTCGACGGGAGGGGCCGGGGCCTAGGGTCGACGGGGCGCTCCGGGGCCTAGGGTCGACGGGGCGCGCGGGGCCTAGGGTCGACGGGGCGGGCCGGGGCCTAGGGTCGACGGGAGGGGCCGGGGCCTAGGGTCGACGGGGCGCGTGGGGCATAGGGTCGACGGGGCGGGCCGGGGCCTAGGGTTGACGGGGCGCGCTGGGCCTAGGGTCGACGGGGCGGGCCGGGGCCTAGGGTCGACGGGAGGGGCCGGCGCCTAGGGTCGACAGGGCGCGCCAGGGCCTAGTCGACGAGGCGGGCCGGGGCCTAGGGTCGACGGGGCACACGGGGCCTAGGGTCGACGGGGCGGGCCGGGGCCTAGGGTCTACGGAGCGCGCGGGGCCTAGGGTCGACGGACAGGCCGCACGAGGGCGGCTCGTGGGGCAGCAGGTGCGGCACGAGGGTCGCTAGGGGCGGCGCGTGAGCCAGCAGGGCGGCTAGTGGGGCAGCGTTGTGGTGGGCCCAAAATAATCAGTCCTAACGAAGGACCTGCTCTGAAACCATGTCAGAATAAGGAACGAGAATGAATGAACTATGAAACAGTTGGGTACAAGTACTAACTCTAATTGGGTTGTACCCCTTATGGGCTATCCCACTATAGCCTACACAAATATAAGCACTATAATATTCTGACAAAAATCAGTCCCCTTCCATAAAAAAGATGTTGAAATTTCAAGGTTACAAAATAAAAAAAGGCTGAAAGTTCAGGGTTGGTACAAAAAAAAGGCTGAAAATCAGTCAAATCATGATAAAAAGCTTGATATCTCAGGGCCTGTACGAAAGCTTGCATGACTGATGTACTCAATAAAAATGTGTTGAACCTTCAATAAGCAATCAGGGAAATGGCATACATATGAGCCCTTTTGAAGCATTTTGGGGCTCAGCCACAAGGGCACGAGCTCCACAATTTCTGACTGCATCCTCTCTTCCTGCCACAATTTTTCTAAATCTGGTCGCCACACCCCAGATCTGGCGTTCTTCTTGCCCGTGTCAGAGCACTCGATTGGCTCCTCCACAATTGCGTAACTCTAAGCCACACCCCTCCCGCAGAGACGAGAGTGGCTCGGCCACGTGGATCACTATTGGCGCGCAATAGAAAAAAAAAACAATACACCCGATTTTCTATATGATCCCACACCACGGATTGTGGCCATGTTCGAGTTTATATAGAACAAATCTTATATTGGATTTGCAGCTTTTACGAAACTAGTAAAAGCACTATGCCGCGATCGAAAAATCAACAAAAAAAAAGTTTTCTAGTGGTACCTAAACTGTTCCACGTTTCCAGAGTTCGGTTGCCATTGTGCTTGAAACAATCTGTTATACCGACGGTTGGACCTGTAGAGTATAAACCGGTGTGCACATAAACAAATTTCACCCTAAACATATTTCAAACACGAACCTCAGTATCGAGATTCTTGATACCGAAGTTTTTGCAAACTGGTTGCGACGTGGTCGCATAGATCACGTAGCAACCGTTTGCGCGGAATATCCCAGCGAAAACGGGTCGTCAAGCGTGACGACCCATTGAAGACTTGACGACATGCTGCCCCGGGCAGAAAAAACCTAAAAACCTATCGGATGGCATGCCATCCGAGGGAGGCATCAACCCTAAATCAATGCCTCCCTGTGTTTAGGGTTGATGCCTCCCTGATCGGATGCATGCCCGAATGGGTTTTTTTTTTTTTCCCGCAGGCAGCGAGCTCCCCCGGGCGGACTTGCTTGTCCGCTGAGATATATTCGGCGAAAGGTGCACGTCAATTTGACGGCTGCACCTTGACGCTGGCGAGAGCACGTGCCTCGCCAGCTACACTTCACACACGAATCTGTTTGGGCAGAGAACTGGTTCACGGGCAGGCCGAGCCTAGCCCTTGGGGTGGTGGGGGTTGTCTTGCTCCGCTTCCGCGTGGGTCTAGGCGAGCTCGACCAGACTAGCTCGACCTTCCTTTTTCCTCTGGCAAATCTGCTCGACCTGCGCCCACTACATAACTTCCCAGTGACAGTCGCGACTAGAAACCTGGGTGAGTACTGTACCCAGATTAGGGTTCGAGCACCCAATATATATTCACCACCGATCTGTAACCATGCGTATTCTCTCTGCAACTTACAGAACCAGCTCTAACCCAGCGTGCAAGGAACGTGATCCTTACGAAGAGTCGTAGCGCATAATGAAACCAGATCCGACGAGACTAGCCAGCCACTTTGTGCCAGTCACCACGTAATACCCCACTTCCACATCCATGTCTAGACCGGCCAAGTCAACTACAGAGCTCCCTCGTAAACCAATGTTACACTAAGTCCTTATCTCGCTGTTTTCGCCGGTTTGACGTTTGTTTCCAATGGTGGCAAATGGCGGGGAAAAGAAGGGAGGCGAGAGAACAGCGGAGAATGGGAACCGGAGCGAGGAGGGGGAGGAGGATGGGAGAGACGAGCCGGAGAGGAACGATTCGGGGGAGGTAGAGCAGGCAGGAGGGTCGGACGCGGCGTCGGGAGAGGACGAAAGGGATGGCGGAGGAGGAGGAAGCGAGGGAGGGGAGGGTGGGGAGGAATACGCGGACGGGAATGAGGCCGACGGGGAGGAAGCGGAGTACGAAAATGCTGACGGAAAATTAGACGGAAAGGACAGCGAGGAGGAAGAAGACGCGGAGGAGGAAGACGGCAAGGAGAACGAGGACGACGAGGAAGACGAAGACGGAGAAGAGGACGACGAGGAGGAGGAGGACGGAGAAGAGGAGGACGAAGAGGACGAGGAGGAATGCGACGATCAGTCGCCAGTGGAGGAGGTCGCACTGACGGTGGCGACGTTCGACGACCCGTCGCTGCCGTGCCTGACGTGGCGCGTCGTCATCATCGGCAGCATCGTGTGCGCGCTGCTCGCCTTCATCAACCAATACTTCTGGTTCAGGTGAGGGTTGGTTCCGGTGAGGGTTGGTTCCGGTGAGGGTTGGTTCCGGCGAGGGTTGGTTCCGGTGAGGGCTGGTTCCGGTGAGGGTTGGTTCCGGTGAGGGTTGGTTCCGGTGAGGGCTGGTTCCGGCCAAGCAGTGCTGTTGAGTCGACTCAAAGTCATCGCCTTCATCAAGCAGTACTTGTGTTTACGGTGGGTGGGCCCAGCGACATGGATGCCCCAACATGGTCCAGGTGGGAGCCTGGTTCAGGTGGGCAGTACTTCTGGTTCAGGTGGGCGCCTGGTCGAACCAACATGGTTCAGGTGGGTAGCACTTCTGGTGGCATGGGGTCCGCACAGACAGTGTACCGAGCGCATGTGCTGTGAACGCCGCATGCAGGGCGGCCCCGCACTGCCCATGCATGGCATGACATGGCGTTTACACAATGTACCATGCCGCTGTGCTGCTGTGAAACGAACACCACATGCAGGCAGGGCGGCCCGTGCCCACCACCCGCCTCCATGCACGCTTGCTTTCTTCCTTTCACTCCCCCTTGCACCTTGCTGAATAGCTTTTGAGGCGCCCCACATTGCCCATGCATGGCATGGCATGGCATGGCATGGCGCCCTGTGTCCACCACCCTCCTCCATGCATGCTTGCTTTCTTCCTCTCACTCCCCCTTGCACCTTGACCATGAACGGCTTTTGAAACGCCTCAAAAGTGTTCTGCCCCTTGCATGCACCTTGCATGCACCTTGCATGCACCTTGGTGAAGAATGACTGTTTCCTGAATGCCCTTGCATGCCTGGTGGCTCTGCCATGCTTTCCATGCGATCAGTGCCTGTAACCCGTATGTGTGTATGTGTCACGTGTGTGCACGCGCGCTCTTGTGTGTGTGCGGGTGTGCCTGTGTGTGCGGGTGTGCCTGTGTGTGCGGGTGTGCCTGTGTGTGCGGTGCCTATGTGTGCGGGTGTGCCTGTGTGTGCGGGTGTGCCTGTGTGTGCGGGTGTGCCTGTGTGTGCGGGTGTGCCTGTGTGTGCCCGTGCATGTTCCTGTGCTTGTTGTGTGTTCATGCATGTGCACCACAGGACCCAGTCCATCATAATCAACCCCATCGCTGCTATCATCCTCTCTCTCTACATGGGTCGCCTCTTAGCGAGGATGGAGCGCCGCTTCAAACCCGATGCACTCCCCTTCAGTGTCAAGGTAAGGTAACGTTTACATGCCGAGCTGGTGCGAACTGAACACGACGCAAGAGTTTGTGTCACTTTTGAGAATTCTAAAATATGGCGTGGGTTGTTGTTGCGGGTGGATCATGGATGGACACGCACACATGCACACATGCATGGACATGCAGTGCAGCTGTGGGATGAAGTTATCTGCATGTGCAAGGTAGCCATCACCAAGCTCCCTCCAGGCAGCCTCCAAGCACCACACCAAAGTGTATTGTGCTTCAGCACCATTATGTGACCTGCATGTGTGTGTGTGGGGGGGCGGGGGAGGGGGGGGGGTGGGGGGGGAAGGAGAGAGGAGAGAAGGGGGGGGGGGGTGGGGGGGGAAGGAGAGAGGAGAGAAGGGGGGGGGGGGGTGGGGGGGGAAGGAGAGAGAGGAAGGGGGGGGGGGGGGGGGTGGGGGGGGGGAAGGAGAGAGGAGAGAAGGGGGGGGGGGGGTGGGGGGGGAAGGAGAGAGGAGAGAAGGGGGGGGGGGGTGGGGGGGGGGGAAGGAGAGAGGAGAGAAGGGGGGGGGGGGGGGGGGGGGGGGGGGGGGGAGGGGGGGGGGGAGGGGGGGGGGGGGGGGGGGGGGGGGGGGGGGGGGGGGGGGGGGGGGGGGGGGGGGGGGGGGGGGGGGTGTGTGTGTGCGTGCGTGCGTGTGTGCATGCTGCATGATGCTGCTTCCCGTCCACTGCCCCCAACACCACAGGAGCATGTGCGGATCGGCATATTCGCCAACTGCGGGTCGGCCTTCGGCAACGGCAACGCATATGCCATTGACATCGTCACCATCATGAAGCAATTCTACAACGTTGTGAGTGCCTCCTGCCCTCCCTCCCGCCCTCTTGCCCTCCTGCCCTCCTGCCCCCGTGCCCCCATTGTGCCAGCCCCCCATTGCCCCATGCCCCCATTGCCCCATGCCCCCATTACCCCATGCCCTCATGCCCCATACCCCCATGTCTCTGTGTCTCCACCTCCTTTCCCTGCGCCTTTCCCTGCGCCTTTCTCTCTGCATGTCCGTCAAGCCACTCTCCTCTCCATCCCTATTCTGCATCTCTACACCGATCTGCACTCAACTTCTCTTAGCAATGGTTGCTCTATACGCTCGTTCTTCCTTTCTTTCTCATTCATAATCATTTTCATTGCTGCCCTCTCAACCACAAGTAGTGACAACTCCCCATCCCTTCCCTCCTCGCATGCCTTCCATTCCCTCCAACTCCGTTCAACCCGCTCCTCACTCTCTCAACCCCACCTCTTCCTTCCATTCTCGTTTCTCATTCCCCTCCATCCACCCGCTTGCCCACTCCTCTCCCCTCCACCCCTCCCCCCCCCTCTCCTGTCTTCCCTCCAACCCCCCTTCACCTCACCAGCATTTGAATTTCTTCCCAGCCTTTCTGCTCGTCACCACAACGCAAGTGCTCGGATACGGATGGGCCGGCATGTTCAGACGCTACCTCGTGGTGAGCCATGCTGTGTGCCACACATGTACATGCTGCTGCTGCCAATCCTCATTGCCAACTGCCAATCCGCGTTTCCAACCGTCCAGCAAACACAATGTCATATGCACTCCTCCCTTCCCCTTCTCACAGTCTCTGCCACCCTCTCTGCCACCCTCTGCCCTCCCAGCCACCCCTCTGCCCCGCGCGCTTCCCAACATCCCCTGCTCCTCATCTCTCTCCATCTCCCGCTGCTGCCGCCCATCAGGAGCCAGCCCATATGTGGTGGCCCACTGACCTCCTCGTCTATGTCTCTCATTACTCATGAGTCCCCTTCTCCCCCCATTTCCCTTGCCGCTGCCCCTCGTCTCTCTCCATCTCCCCCCACTGCCGCCCATCAGGAACCAGCGAACATGTGGTGGCCCACTGACCTCGCCTCGGTCTCTCATTACCAATGCCTCCTCCCCTCTCCTTCCCTCTCCCTGCTTCCCACCCTCCCCTGCCCCTCATGTAACCCCCATTACTGCCCACCCGATCATCGCCCCTCATTTCCTCCCACTGCCCCCTATCACGAGCCTGCACACATGTGGTGGCACACAGACCTCGTCTATGTCTCCCATTACTCATGTGCCCCCTCTCTCCCCTGCTTCCCACCCTCCCCTCTCCCCCCTCTTAACCCATCGTCCTCATGATTTCTCATCAGGAGCCAGCCCACATGTGGTGGCCCACAGACCTCGTCTATGTCTCCCTCTATCGGTACGCCTCCTGTCCATCAGCCCCCCACCTTCCGTTTCCCCCCCTCGTTCTCCATCTTTCAAGGGACCCTTGCATGAAACATGAGTCTGGGTCCAGGCAAGCAAGGTCTCCCTCTATCGGTAAGCCTCCTTTTCATCTACCACGCCCCACCCCACCTTCCCATTCCTGCTCCTTCACTCCGTCTTTCGAAGCATCCTTGCGTGAAACACAAGTCTAGGTTCAGGCAAGGAAGGCCTTCTTCCCTCCTCAAACCTCCCCCTCTCCTGACCTTTTACCCCCCCCCCCCTCATCTCCAAGAGTAGCGGCTCGCTTGAGTCAAGCAATTCATTGTCAAACAATCACGCGCCTCCCCATGCCCACTGCTTCCCCATGCCCACTGCTTCCCCATGCCCACTGCTTCCCCATGCCCACTGCTTCCCCATGCCCACTGCTTCCCCATGCCCACTGCTTCCCCATGCCCACTGCTTCCCCATGCCCACTGCCTCGTCATCCCGCCATCTCCCTGTGCCCCAACCCTCCTTAGGTACTTTGAACTCCAACTCTCCCCTCTACTCCCTGTGCTCTACTCCACAACCCCACCCCAACCCACCCCACCCCACCCCACCCCACACCCCTCTCCGCCCCTCTTTCCGCTCGCCCCTCCCACCCAGAACCCTCCACGAGTCAGACACACCAGCGCGCGGCATGCTGACACGCGCCCATTTCTTCTTCCTCATAACAGCGCTCTCCTTCTGCTGATACCTCGTGCCCGGCTACCTCATCCCCATCGCCTCCTGCCCCGCGTTCCCCCGGGTGCTCTACTCCACTCCTCAACCCACACCCCTCCTCTTTGGCCCCTGTCCCCCCCTTTCCCCCTTCTTCTGCCCACTTCCTCCCCCTACTGCCCCCTTCCCCCCTTCCCTCCTCCCCCCCTTGCCCCGCCCCTCCCACCAGCACCCTCCACGAGTCAGACACACCAGCGCGAGGCATGCTAACACGAGCCCATTTCTTCTTCCTCATAACGGCGCTCTCCTTCTGCTGGTACCTCGTGCCCGGCTACCTCATCCCCATCGTCTCCTGCCTCTCCTGGGTCTGCTGGGTCTGGCCCTCCTCCATCACCGCCCAGCAACTCGGCTCTGGTGGGTGCTTGCTTTGTCTTCGTTTTCGCGCCACGCCACCCCTCCCCACTCCCCCCTCTCCCCCTTCTCTTCCACCAACTGGGTCTCCTGGGTCTGCTGGGTCTGGCCCTCCTCCATCATTGTGCAGCAGCTCGGCTCTGGTGGGTTCTTTTCTCCTGTCTCTCCTTTCCTGCACACTCCACCCTTCCTCCCCTCTCCTGGGTCTGCTGGGTCTGGCCCTCCTCCATCACTGCGCAGCAACTCGGCTCAGGTGGGTGTTCAGCCTTCTCTTTCCCCTTCCTCCTCCTTCCTACTCTACCGCCCACTCCCTCCCTCCTCCCACCTTCCTTTTCCTCCCATCTCCCCCGTCTTCCTCTCTCCTGGGCCTGCTGGGTCTGGCCCTCCTCCATCACCGCGCAGCAACTCGGTTCAGGTGGGTGCTTAGTCAGTCTCTCTTCCTCCCCAAGTCCCCCATTCCTCCCCCCTTCTTCCCCGCTCCCCCCTCCCTGCCCCCTCCCACCAACTGGGTCTGGCCCTCCTCCATCACGCACAACAGCACGGCTCAGGTAGCCTTCTCTTTCCCCTTCCTCCCCCCCTCGCCCCCTTCCTCTCCTCTTCTGGGTCTGCTGGGTCCGGCACTCCTCCATCACCGCACAGCAGCTCGGCTCAGGTGAGGCCTTCGTTTCCCTCTCCTGCCTCCTACCTCAATCAGGCTCCATCCCCCCTCCCTCTTTTCTTCCTTCCTCACCGACTCCTCTTCTCGCTTCTCCTTCCCTCTGGCCCTCCTCTGTCATCTCGCAGCAGCTTGGTGACTCTTGAGTCGGCTCAAAAGTCACTTTGTGTCATCTCGCAGCAGCTTGGCTCAGCTACGTGCTTTGTCTTCCCCCTCCCTCTTCCCTCATGCAGCCCCCCTCCTCCTCTGCACCCGCCTCCCAGATGCATGCTTTCTTCAACCCCATTCTCCGTTCCAACCCCTCCCAGTGCCTGTTTTGCCCCTCCACGCCCCTGCATCCCCTCATCCCTAACCCCTAGCTTGCTTCCCATTCCATACCCCTCTTTTCTTCCCTCCATGCTTCTGGTTTCTTCCCCTCCTACCTCTAGTTTCTTCCCCTCCTACCTCTGGTTCCTGCCTTGCCTGCTTACTGGCTCGTACCTTGCCTTTTTCTTCCTCCCTCTCGCCCTTGCCTTCCCCTCCCTACACCCTGGTGTTTCCCCCTCCTCCTTCCCCCCCTCTCAACACCATCATTTTGCCCGTCGCATACCCTCACCGCCCTTCGTTTCCACATTCCCTGCCATATGCTTTCCATAACCCACCCTCCGTTTCCCTCCCCCCCCTTACTGCCAGTTTTATCCCTCGCTGTTTCCCACCACACACCCCGTGTTTCTCCCTCCTTTGCTGCTGGTTTCTCCCCTCCCTGTTCCCCTTTTCTGTAGATACCCGCCTTCCTCTTTCGTGCTCTCACACTCCCCTCAAAGTCTTCCCCTCCCACACCCCCTATTCCCCCCTGTCTTGCGAGGTCTGAGCTGAGGGGCATGGGCCTTGGTGCTATCACCCTTGTCTGGACAACCATGTCGTGTCGGCCTTCCTCTCGTCACCCCTCGGCCTTCGGAGACAAGGGGTTTTTCAGATCTACGGATTTCACAAGTTTTTGCTTTTTTTGCTGTTGATCCTTTTGCTAAAGCGTCACCATCACGTACTGCAGCCCTTCGACAATGAGTCAGGGAGCATCACCATCACGTACTGCAGTCCTTCGACAATGAGTCAGAAGGGGCATGGGCCTTGGTGCTATCACCCTTGTCTGGGCAACCATGTCGTGTTGGCCTTCCTCTCGCCACCCCTCGGCCCTCGCCGCCCCCAACCCCTCCCTCCTCCCACTCTCCCAACCCCCCCCCTCCCCACCAGGTCTGAGGGGCATGGGTCTGGGCGCCATAACCCTCGACTGGGCCACCATGTCGGCCTTCCTCGCCTCGCCCCTCGCCGCGCCCTGGTTCGCCATCCTCAACGTCGGAATCGGCTTCGCCCTTTTCGTCTACGTCCTCGTGCCCATCTGCTACTGGGGCAACGTTTTCGCCGCCACCCGCTTCCCGTTCCTCTCCTCTGGAACCTACCAGTGGTCGGGGGATCGATACCCGGTGCAGGCGATAATCACGCCGGATTTCCGGTTGAATGAGACGATGTACTCGGAGCAGAATCTTTCGCCGTTCATCTCGGTGTTCTTTGCGTTGTGCTACGGGCTGGGGTTTGCCGCGCTGACTGCGACGGTGGTGCATGTGGCACTGTGGTATGGCCCGGAGATCTACCAACGGACGATGAGTGCCGGTAGGTGAAGGGCTGGGTGGTGGGTAGTAGGGGACTTAACAGTCTCAACAATTGTCATGGACGGACATGGTGCTAACAGACCGTGAGACATATTCCAGCGAGCAGCAGCGTGGAAGAAAGTTTTCGCAAAGGAGAGACAGTTGTAGTAAAAAGCTAGCTAATTCGCGTAGGGTTCAAAATGTCTCTTAACAGTCTCAACACTAGTCATGGACGAACATGGTGGTGTGGTATGGCCGGGAGATCTACCAGCGCAAAATGAGTGCCGGTGGGTGTGTGTCTGAGTGGGTGGGTGGTGGTCGATCAGTCATCACTGATTGTCATGTCATGGACAGGTGTCGCTCTGCTCTGCTGTCGTATGACCCGGAGATCTACCGGCGCACGATGAGTGCGGGTGGGTGAAGGGCTGGGACATGGGTGGGTAGAGGTAGACTTGTTCGTACGTCATGGACGGGTGTGGCGCTGTCGTATGGGCTGGACATTTACCAGCGCACGATGAGTGCTGGTGGGTGAAGGGCTGGGTGGGTGGTCGTAGATCAGTTAGTGTCATGTCCTGTGTAAGTGTAGCACTGCTGTGGTATGGGCCGGAGATCTACCAGCGGACGATGAGTGCCGGTGGGTGCGGGCGGATGGGTGTGGTGCGGTGCGGTGGTGTGGTGTGGTATGTGCATATGCTATGGGATTTTTACCAGTGGATGATGAATGCTTGTGGCTGGCTGGGTGGATGTCTGCAACTCTGTCAGTGTGATGGTATGGATGGGTGTGATGGTATGGATGGGTGTGGTGGTATGGATGGGTGTGATGGTATGGATGGGTGTGGTGGTATGGATGGGTGTGATGGTATGGATGGGTGTGGTGGTATGGATGGGTGTGATGGTATGGATGGGTGTGGTGGTATGGATGGGTGTGATGGTATGGATGGGTGTGGTGGTATGGATGGGTGTGATGGTATGGATGGGTGTGATGGTATGGATGGGTGTGGTGGTATGGATGGGTGTGATGGTATGGTATGGATGGGTGTGGTGGTATGGATGGGTGTGATGGTATGGATGGGTGTGATGGTATGGATGGGTGTGGTGGTATGGATGGGTGTGGTGGTATGGATGGGTGTGATGGTATGGATGGGTGTGGTGGTATGCATGGGTGTGATGGTATGGATGGGTGTGGTGGTATGGATGGGTGTGATGGTATGGATGGGTGTGGTGGTATGGATGGGTGTGATGGTATGGATGGGTGTGGTGGTATGGATGGGTGTGGTGGTATGGATGGGTGTGATGGTATGGTATGGATGGGTGTGGTGGTATGGATGGGTGTGATGGTATGGATGGGTGTGATGGTATGGATGGGTGTGGTGGTATGGATGGGTGTGATGGTATGGATGGGTGTGGTGGTATGGATGGGTGTGATGGTATGGATGGGTGTGATGGTATGGATGGGTGTGGTGGTATGGATGGGTGTGATGGTATTGTGGGAAATGAGAGTTAGAATAGAAGTTGTGTCTTGATTGAGAATGATGGGGGTATACATAGTTGGAGGTTGGATACTAGCCTTGGTTGGCATTATTGGACCCCAACCAAGAAGTTGAGTTGGGTGATTATTGGTGGGGTCCAATAATGTTGGCCAAGGTGGGGTTGGCCAACATTATTGGAGGGAGCCAATAATTCTACCCAACCCAACCTTTTGGTATCCAATAATTGGACCAAGGTTGGGTTACCCCTGTTTGTACACCCAAACTAAGTTTGGGTGCTTATCTCTAGCCTATCCTATAGCATATATGCAGGTTACAAGAGAAGAGATATTCTAACACAACCCCTTAACCTGCAGATATGTGGACAGGCTAGAGAGTAGCAACCCCTGAATTAAGGCACGCCGGGAGGGGCGAGGCCGATGAGACGGAGAAGAGCAGAGTGCGCAGGGCGGAGAAGGGCTTTGGTAAATATATCAGCCAAGTTGGCCGCGGCAGCGATCTTGCGGACGGCAATGAGGCCTTGCTGGACGAGGTCACGGATGAAGAAGTAGCGGAGCTCGATGTGCTTGGAGCGGCCGTGAAAGACTGGGTCCTGGGTGAGATGGATGGTGCTGGCATTGTCACACCAGAGTGTGGGACAGCGCTGCGGGGCACCAAGCTCGGCGAGAAGAAAGCAGAGCCAACGGGACTCTTGGGCAGCCATAGTGCCAGCATAGAGTTCGGCTTCGCAGGAGGAGAGGGCAACGGCAGAGGAGCGAGTAGAACGCCAGCTGATAAGTCCGCTGCCAAGCGTGAAACCATAGCCTTGTGAGGAGCGGCGGTCTGGCTGGGAGTCCGCCCAGGAGGAATCACTGAAGCCAGAGAGAAGGGGAGGGGAGGAACCACCCAATGTAAGGGCGTGATCCTTGGTGCCCCGGAGGTAGCGGAGAACTCGCTTAGCGGCAGTCCAGTGTTCCTCAGTGTGGCGGCCGGAGCCGACGAACCGAGCGAGGACGCTGATGGGGTAGGCAAGGTCGGGGCGAGTGCACATCATCGCGTACATCAGCGACCCGACGAGTTCGGCATAGGGACGGGAGGAGGCGGAGGGGGAGGTGGGTGGCGCCAGCTGGTGACCGAAGGGGAGGGGGGGTGGAGACCGGTTTGGCCTGCGCCATCTCGAACTTCTCCAGCACCTGGCCGATGTAATGGGACTGGGAGAGGGTGATGGTGCGGGCGGATCGGTCGCGGGTGATGGTCATGCCGAGGTAGTTCTGCAGCGGACCAAGGTCCTTGCACTTGAGACGGTCCTGAAGGGACTGCTTCACCTGGTCCATGTCGGTCCTGGAATCAGCAAGCAGGATCATGTCGTCAACATAGACCGAGATGAAGAAGCGAGGGGAAGAGCGGATGAAGAGGCTGGCATCGGAGTGGGAGGCAGAGAAACCGAGGGACTGGAGAGTGGTAGACAGCTTGGCATGCCATTCTCGTGGTGCCTGCTTCAGACCATAGACTGGTCGACGTAGTTGCCAGACGGTATTGCCGGGGAAAGCAGCGTGAAACCCGGGAGGTCGGCGTAGGAAAATACGCTCGTGCAGCTCGCCTTGCAAGAATGCGTTGGAGACGTCCATGGAGTCAATCTCCATGTTGTCGCGCGCACCAACGTCGAGAAGGGCGCGAAGGGTAGGTGGCTTAACGGTAGGGGCGAATGTGAACCAGTAGTCCTCAGCCCAAGTCTGTGTAAAGCCTTTGGCGACATAGCGGGCCTTGTAGACTGGTTCTTCTCCCGGCAGCTGTTTTACTCGGAAGATCCACTTGCCCTCGACAAGGTTGGCGTCAGGAGGGAGGGGCACATCGATGAAAGAGTCATTGCGGATGAAGGCCTCACATTCCAGGAAGATGGCGGCTATCCATTTGTCGGCATCTGGGCAGGTGGTAGCTTCCTGGAAGGTGGAGGTAGGGATGAGCAAAGGGCGAACACGAACATGTTCGTGTTCGCCCCTTCTCGAACACACCCTTTTGCCGAACCGAACACTGTTCGGTTCGGCGAACAGTTTAGCCAAAAACAGGTGTTCGCTGTTCGCCTGTGGAGGCGTGTTCGGGCGAACCTCGAACACGTTCGTGTTCGACACGGGGCGTTCTGCAGCAGCGCCACGAACACGAACGTGTTCGGGCGAACATCGAACACGTTCGGGCGAACGATTTAAGCTGAAAAACAAAAACTGTTCGGTTCGCCTCGAACACGTTCGAGGCGAACCGAACAGGTGTTCGCCACCTTGCTCAAGCCTAGGTGGAGGGGACGAAGATGGTGGGAGCGGAGACTGCGGCAAGGATAAGAGCGCCGAGGAAGCCAGGGTAGAGGGGGGTGAGAGAGGGAGTGTGGCGCTGGACCATAGTAAGTTCCTCATGGAAGTCTTCTAGTAGGTTGAGGGAGGGAGAAGGCGGTGTGCCAAGGATGGGATCAAGGGAGCGGGTGTGCATGCGAGGGAGGAGGAAGGGTGAGGAGCGGGCAGTCGCCCTCCGCCGCTGCTGCTGTTGGTGCTGCTGAAGCCCCTGCTGCTGCTGCGGCTGCTGCTCCTCCTGCTGCTGCGGCTGCTGCTCCTCCTGCTGCTGCTGCCCCTGCTGCTGCCCCAGCTGCTGCCCCTGGTGCTGCCCCGGCTGCTGCCGCAGCTGCTGCTGCCCCTGCTGCTGCGGCGGCTGCTGCTGCTGCTGCTGCGGCTGCTGCTGCTGTTGGGATGAAGGAGAGGGAGGGGAGGAGGGGAAGGGGAGAGGGGGGGCGGCGGAGTGGGCAGGGGATGCAGGTGCAGTAGGATCGTAGATGTCAGCAGAGGAGGGCGGTGGAGGTGGAGCAGGGAGAGGTGGTAGTAGAGGCGCAGGAGGGAGGAGGGGAGGGAGGACAGTGTCGGTCCAGGCGAGAGGACGGGTAGGAGAAGGGAGGGGGTCTGGTGGTGGAGAGGAGTAGTACGGGGTGGTTTCGTCAAAGACGACGTCAATGCTGCGGATGAGGTGACCGGAGGGAGGGTGGAGGAAGAGATAGCCAGGCGAGTCGCGGTTGTGTCCGAGATAGACACACTCGAGGGCGCGAGAAGCGAGCTTGCCGTGGGTGCGGTCAGAAGGAGGGATAAGAACGTATGCCTTGCAGCCCCAGACACAGAGACCGGCAGCGTCAGGTTTCGTGCCTGACCAGAGTTCCGTGGGGGTGATGGCAGTGTGTTGAGGATGAGAGTGAAGGTTGAGGAGGAGGGCAGCATGGAGCAGAGCATAGCCCCAGAGGGAAGGAGGGGTGGAGGCGTGAGCGAGGAGGCAACGAGCGATTTTGGTGATTTCGCGAATGCGGCTTTCTGCGACACCATTCTGCTGCGGGGAGTGGGGAAGGGTGTGGGTCTGTTGGATGCCATGGGTGGCGCAGTAGTGGGAGAGGGTGCGGTTGAGGAATTCTCCGCCGCCGTCAGAGTGAAGGCGGCCGATGGGACGGTTGAAGTGGGCGCGGCATTGCTCTGCCCAGTGGGTGATCACAGTCGGTGCCTGGTCTTTCGTGTGGAGGAGGAAAATGGAGGAGTAGCGGCTGTGGTCGTCTACGAGGATCAGCATGTAGCGATGGCCCTAACGGGAGCGAGTGGGAGAGGGTCCCCAGAGGTCCATATGGACTAGGTCAATGGGAGCGGGAGCAAAGGATGGGTGGCTGTGGTGGGGAGACTGTTTGAGTTTGCCGTGGATGCAGGAGGGGCATGGAGGGGCTGGAGAGGAAGGGAGGGGAGGGAGAGTGGGAGGGAGGCTGTGAAGGAGGCGAGAGGTGATGGCAGTGCGGAGAGCGGCGAAATTGGGGTGGCCGAGTCGGTGATGCAGCAGTACAGCGGGGTGGGAGAGATGGTCGGAGGTGGAGGGGGTTGGAGTGAGTGAGGGTGGGAGAGGGGGAGGTGGCTGCTGCTGTTGCTGCTGCGGCGGCTGCCCTTGCTGCGGCGGCTGCTGGTGCTGCTGCTGCTGCTGCTGCGGCCCCTGCTGTTGCCCCTGCGACGGCGGCTGCTGCTGCTGCGGCCCCTGCTCCTGCTGCGGCGGCTGCTGCTGCTGTCGCTGCTGCTGCTGCGGATGCTGCCCCTGCGGCGGCTGCTGTTGCTGCTGTTGCTGCTGCTGGGGTGGAGGTGAAGTAGGGGGATGGGAAGGGTGAGTGGAGGTGCCAGTACGAGTGGTGACATGGCAGAAGGATGGCCAAGGGGTGCGGAGAGTGTAGAGGCGAGTGCGGGGGCAGAGGGGAATGCGTAGAAGGAAGCGACCGGTGGCGGTGTGATAGAGGTCACAGTAGGTGGCATTACCTGGATAGACGGCAGTGATACCTGCATTCTGGATTTCCCGATGGGAGAGGAGGTTGTTTCGGAGAGTGGGGATGTGGAGACCAGTTACCTTACCAGAGGGGAAGATTGTGCAGGGGAGAGTGGAGAGATGTGTGCATGGGATGGTGAAACTGCTGTCAGCACCGTGAACTTGAGTGGGAGGAGAGAGGGGTGTGAGTGTACCAGCATCCTTGAGAGCAGTCTCAGTGGCCCCACTATCAAGGACGAAGTCCAGAGTGGGTGGGGAGGAGGAGGAAGACACCGAGTACTGGAAAGTGGTTTCATTAATGGTGGAGGGGTACATGGAAGGAAGAGAGGGGGAAAGAGCAATGTTGCCAAGAAAACTTTCCTGGGTGAGGGGAGTGACAATACTACCAGGAGGAGGTGGGGCACCCCACAGGGGAGCAGGGGGGGTCTGAGCAGCTGTGGCTGCCGCGCTGAGGTTCAGCTGCTGCTGCTGCCAGGGGGGAGTGCTGGGTCCCCACTGGGGTGGGAGCCCGGGTCCCCATGGGGGCTGCTGCTGCTGCTGCTGTTGCTGCTGCGGTGGTTGCTGCTGGAACAGCTGCTGCTGCTGTGGTTGCTGCTGGAACAGCTGCTGCTGCTGCTGTTGCGGTTGCTGCAGAAGATGCTGCTGCTGAATATTGAGGAGCGGCGTGGGGGGAGCAAGGAGGCGGAGGTGGGTGGGGAGATAAGCAGGGTGGGTTTGGATGTCAGCAGGGGAGGGACGCGGGGAGACGGTACCCCAGCGGGGAGGTGTGCCAACATTGCCCCGTGCGTACCAGGCATCATCGAGAGCCTTGAAGCAAGTGGTAGGGGGATGGTTGGTTTGACCGCAGGGTGTCCCTGCCCGGGGACCGTAGCGACGGACATAGGTGCAGGGAGGGAGAGTGCCAGGGCGGGGTCCCCGGTTTCCAGAGGGACCGCCCTGACTGGGGGTGCCGTGCTCATCCCCAGTAGAGGCACCATGGTTGCTGGCGCTGCTGGTTCCTTGACCGCTGCCTCCCTTGCCCCCACTTCCCCCTTTGCCGTTGCGTTTGCCCTGCTTGCGGGGCTGGGTAGTGTTGAGAGAGGAGGAGGGAGGGTGGGAGGAGGCGAGGTTGACCATGGGGGTGCGAAGTTTGACTTCGGTATCAATGATCCACTGTTCAACATAAGTGATATTGGCCATGGCCTCGGTAAAGGCGTGAAGGCGGGATTCATAGTCTGGGGTGAGATTGAAGAGGAGGCGATGGATTTGGAGGGGTTCGGAGAGACCGGCTTGGCGGGCTTCGAGGCGATCAGCTACCTCTCGCATGCGGCCGACATAGTCTACTGCCCCGTCACAGGTGGCGAGGGTAATAGAAAAATACTCCTGGAAGAGGATTCCCACGGAGCTGATGTCGCGGCGTTCGAACATAGCATGGAGTTCTGCCCATATCACTGAGGCACGGAGTTCCCGGGCCTGGAAGCGGCGCATGAGGGAGTCGGGGAGAGCACCGAGGATGACAGTGCATGCGCAGTTGTCAGCGGCTGACCAGGCGATGAACTTAGGAGTGAAGGTAGTCATATCGTCGTTGTATTTGGCGACGACGGCGAGGTAAAAAATTGCGGCCAGCAACGGCCTGGGCGTAGGCATCAGCTGCTGCATCGTACTCGGCTTTGCGGATGAGGTAGGCACGGCGACGCATAATGAAGTCTGCATCTGCGGTGGCTTGGTCGGCGGCGGTCTGGAGCTCGGGCTCAAGGGGAGGGTCGCCAGGAGGGGGAGGGAGAGGAGGGGTCTTGCCGGGGTGGTCAGGTTCGGTGGGGGGGAGGGCATGGGGGCGGCGGAGGACGACGTCAAGGACGCGGTAGGGGGGGATCCATGCATTGGTGAGGACTCGTCGGATGCTGCCGACGAACGAGTACCAGTTAATGGCAGATTTGTCGGCTGCAAGCTGTAATTTGTCAATGGAGGAAGTATCGATAGGAGGAGGGAGGGGGGAGGGGGAGGGCATGGGGTTAGCCATGAGGGACGGCTGCAGGTGGACCCGCAGTGGTCACGAAAGCGCGCAGGTGGCGGCAGCTGGTGGGGCTGCTATGGCGCGGGTGCGGAAGCGGTGGGGAGGTGGAGGAATGGCGCAGGCAGCGGAGGTTGGCGCGGAGGTGGCTACGAGGCTGCGAAGCGGCGGGAGGTGGCGGCGGCTGGCGAGGCCGTGGCGGACGCAGGCGCAGAGGTGGTGCTGAGGCGGCGGAGGGGAGCTGCGCGGGCGGCGGCTGGTGGGGCCGCGGCGACGCGGTTGCGGAGGCGGCGTCGAGGCCGTGAAGGGGAGCAGCGCAGGCGGCAGCGGTTGGTGAGGCCGCGGCGACGCGGGCGCGGGGGCGACGAGGCCGCGGAGGGGGGCAGCGCGGGCGGCGGCGGTTGGCGAGGCCGCGGCGACGCGAGCGCGGAGGCGGCGGCGAGGCCGCGAGGGGGAGCTGCGCGGGCGGCGGCGGCTGACGAGGCCGCGACGTCGTGGGCGCGGAGGCGGTGTCGAGGCCGCGGAGGGGAGCGGCGCGGGCGGCGGCGGCTGGCGAGGCCGCGGTGATGTGGGCGCGGAGGCGGCGTCGAGGCCGTGTAGCGGCGCGAGTGGCGGCGGCTGGCGCGGCCGCGGCGTCGCGGGCGTGGAGGCGGCGGCGAGGCCGCGGAGGGGAGTTGCGCGGGCGGCGGCTGCTGGCGAGGCCGCGGCGTCGCGGGCGCGAAGGCGGCGTCGAGGCCGCGGAGGGGAGCTGCGCGGGCGGCGGCGGCTGGCGAGGCCGCGGCGTCGCGGGCGCGGAGGCGGCGTCGAGGCCGCGGAGGGGAGCGGCGCGGGCGGCGGCGGCTGACGAGGCCGCGGCGTCGCGGGCGCGGAGGCGGCGTCGAGGCGGCGGAGGGGAGCGGGGTGGCGGCGGCTGGCGAGGCCGCGGCGGACGCAGGCGCGGAGGCGGCGACGAGGCCGCGGAGGGGAGCAGCGCGGGCGGCGGCGGCTGACGAGGCCGGGGCGACGCGAGCGCGGAGGCGACGACGAGGTCGCAGGGGGAAGGCGCGGGCGACGGCGGGCGCAAAGGCAGCAGCAAGGCTGCGAAAGAAGGGGAGCGCTAAGGGGGGAGGGGGAAGGTGGCAGAGGAGCCGGGGAAAAAAAAAATGAAAGGGAGGAGGCCGGGGGTTGCGGTGGCCGGGTGGGCCTTTGGAACGATAGTAGGCCTAGGATAGTGTGCTCTATACCATGTGGGAAATGAGAGTTAGAATAGAAGTTGTGTCTTGATTGAGAATGATGGGGGTATACATAGTTGGAGGTTGGATACTAGCCTTGGTTGGCATTATTGGACCCCAACCAAGAAGTTGAGTTGGGTGATTATTGGTGGGGTCCAATAATGTTGGCCAAGGTGGGGTTGGCCAACATTATTGGAGGGAGCCAATAATTCTACCCAACCCAACCTTTTGGTGTCCAATAATTGGACCAAGGTTGGGTTCCAACCTACAAACTGGGTTACCCCTGTTTGTACACCCAAACTAAGTTTGGGTGCTTATCTCTAGCCTATCCTATAGCATATATGCAGGTTACAAGAGGAGAGATATTCTAACAGGTATGGATGGGTGTGGTGGTATGGATGGGTGTGATGGTATGGATGGGTGTGATGGTATGGATGGGTGTGATGGTATGGATGGGTGTGGTGGTGTGGTGGTGTGCTATGGATGGGTATGGGTAAAAAGGGTATGGATGGGCGGTATGGAAGATCTAATGTGAGGAACATGAGTGGAGGTGAATGAGAGATGGTGTTGTGGCAGTGCGAAACTGGTATGCGGGAGTCACAGATGTCGTTTATCAATTAGTTTTACGAGATATTGAGACAAACCTGCAGCTATCTGGTATGTGGTGATGATCACAGCACAGATATGGTTTATGATCACAGCACAGATATGGTTTGTGATCACAGCACAGATATGGTTTATGATCACAGCACAGATATGGTTTATGATATTTCTGTCAACTCTCTCCCCACCCACCCCCCCGCCCTTGACCAACCCCTCCCTCTCCCCACCCCCCCCAACCCCCCTTCTCTCAGCCACGGAGGTGAAGCCAGACGTGCACACGCGGCTCATGCAGCGCTACCCCAAGGTGCCCTGGTGGTGGTTCCTCATCCTCCTCCTCGTCAACATCGCTGTCTGCATCGCTTTCCTCGAACTCAACACCTACTTCCAGCTGCCCTGGTGGGGCCTGCTGCTCTCTGCTGCCCTCTCCCTCTTCTTCACACTGCCCATCGGCATAGTCACCGCCACCACCAATCAGCAGCCGGGGCTCAATATAATAACGGAGATGATCTGGGGGTATATTCGCCCTGGGGAGCCGATTGGCAACGTGTGTTTCAAGACATATGGGTACATCAGCATGACTCAAGCCATTGCGTTTCTGCAAGACTTCAAGCTCGGGCATTACATGAAGGTGAGCTGATTCCGAGTCGACTCAAAACCCTTGAGGAGGGGAGGGGAGGGAGCCCATAGGGAACGTGTGTTTCAAGACGTATGGGTACATCAGCATGACGCAGGCAATTGCCTTCTTGCAAGACTTCAAGCTCGGACATTACATGAATGTGAGCAAATTCTTGATTATTGCATTTGTTGAATGTTTGTAGATTTTCCGACTTCGCCACACACTTGCTTCGTTTTCACACACTGCATCTGCCCTTTGGAAAGTTTTTTGTCTGTGCATAGCTGCTGGTATCTTTCAAACCAATTCTTTCCCACTCTGCCCACTTTCTGCATGTGCATGTGCATGTCCGTGTCCATACATGCGTGCACATCTCACCACAAGCCATGTTTACAGTGCAGGTGTTCGTCACTCTCTTATTGTGGGAATGGCTGAATGGAGTTGCAACTTTCTGACTTATCTAATCTCTCCCACTCTGCCCACTCTCTACATGTGCACGTGCCTACGCTTTGCATGTGCATGTGCATGTGTGTGCATGCATGCATGCACACGTGCAGATCCCCCCAAGAGCTATGTTTGTGGTGCAGGTATTCGCCACTCTATTAGCGGGCCTGGTCAATCTCGGCACGTCCTGGTGGCTCTATGACACTGTGGAGAATGGGCTCATCTGCAAGGTGGGCTCATCTGAAAGAAACTAGGAGCTGTAGAAACTTGAGGAAGAATGATTGACATTAGCTCAAGAGAGCACAAGGTTTTACAAAGAAGAGAAGGTTGAAGGAGAAAGGTTGGGTTGACCATAGGTTGGGTTGGCCTCACTTTGGGAAGTGAGGCAACCTAAGGTCAAGTGGGTTGCATTTGGTGGCTCCACCACAATTGGGTTGGATTGGCACCCCACAATGCAAGACTACACCCAAAGTTGGGTGTAGTCCCAACCCAACTGTACACCACAATTGGTGTACAGTCAGAAGTGTTAGCATGCTAGAACATAGAATTCTAACACAACCCCCTAGCAAGCTAACACAGGAAGAGAACAACCCCTGAATCAAGGGGCGCCCAGGCGAGCAAGGCCAATGAGACGGAGGAGAGCAGAGTGCGCAGGGCGAAGGAGGGCCTTGGTGAAGATGTCGGCTAAGTTGGCCTCTGCTGCAATCTTCCGAACAGCAATGAGGCCCTTCTGTACGAGCTCACGGATGAAGAAGTAGCGGAGCTCGATTTGCTTGGAGCGGGCGTGATAGACGGGATCTTGAGTGAGGTGGATGGTGCTAGCGTTGTCACACCAGAGAGTGGGGTAGGGCTGTGGGACACCAAGTTATGCAAGAAGAAAGCAGAGCCAGCGCGACTCTTGGGCGGCCATGGTGCCAACCTCGCAGGTGGAGAGAGAAATGGCGGAGGAGTGGGTGGAGCGCCAGCTGATAAGGCCGCTGCCAAGGGTGAAACCGTAGCCCTGGGAGGAGCGGCGGTCCGGCTGCGAGTCTGCCCATGAGGAATCACTGAAGCCCGAGAGGAGAGGAGGGGAGGGGCCGCCAAGGGTGAGGACATGGTCCTTGGTCCCACGAAGGTAGCGGAGGACCCGTCTTAGCAGCTTTCCAGTGTTCCTCAGTGTGACGACCGGTGCCAACGAAACCAGGTGAGCATACTGATGGGGTAGGCGAGGTCAGGGCGGGTGCACATCATTGCGTACATCAGCGACCCAACGAGTTCAGCATAGGGGTGAGGGGAGGAGGAGGGAGAAGTGGGTGGAGCGAGCTGGTGGCCGAAGGGGAGGGAGGTGGATACGGGCTTGGCCTGCGCCATCTCGAACTTCTCCAAGACCTGGCTGATGTAGTGGGACTGGGAGAGGGAGATGATGTGAGTAGGGCGGTTTGCGCGTGATAGCCATGGCCAAGTAGTGCGTGAGGTCGCCCAGGTCTTTGCATTTGAGACGCTACTGCAGTGGACATCTTCATCTGCTCCATGTCAGTTGCTGTTGCTGCTGCTGCCGCTGCTGCTGCTGCTGCTGAGGAGGGGGAGAGGGAGAGGAGGAGGGAGAGGGGGAAGGGAGGGTGCAGTTGCTGCTGCGGCTGCTATGGCGGGAAGTGAGCGGTGGGGATGAGGAGGGTGTAGTGGCGGCGGAATTTGCAGGCGGAGACGGGGCAGTCACGGCGGTAGGAAGCGTGGGCGGGGACAACGTGGTTGCGGCGGTGGAATGGGCAGGCGGCGACGAGCAGTCGCGACAGCAGGACGGGCAGGTGGCGACGGGTCAGTCGCGGCGGCTGAAAACCGCGGCGGCGACGGCCCGCACTCGCGGCGGCGGGAAGGGCAGGTGGCGATGATGCAGTCGCGGCGGCAGGAAGTGCAGGCGGCGACGTGGCAGTCGCGGCGGTGAAATTGACCCGCGCAACTGCTGGCAGGGACTTCGCGACGGTGAAATTGAACCGTGCGACTGCTGGTAGTGATTTCGCCACGATCAAAGGGGTCCGCGCGACTGCTAATAGTGGTGGCGTGACGGGCAGAGGGGTCCGCGCGGCCTGCGCGACCGTTTAGAGGAGGTGACGAGACGAGTAGGAGGGCCCGCACGGATGCTAGCAGAGGCTACGCGACGAGCAGGAGGGCCCGCATGGATGCTAGCAGAGTGGCGCGAAGAGTAGGGGGAGCCCGTTAGGTTGCTAAGAAAGGTCGCGATGTACTAAGGGAGGCCGCGCGACTAAGTCGGACGATTTCGCTTAGCTGCTGGAGTGTACAAGGGAAGGTAGGAAAAAGAAAGTTTAGGCCTAGGATCTAGTGGTGTTTGCCTTAGGCTCTGAATACCATGAAAGAAACTAGGAGCTGTAGAAACTTGAAGAAGAATGATTGGCATTAGCTCAAGTGAGCACAAGGTTATACAAGGAAGAGAAGGTTGAAGGAGAAAAGTTGGGTTGACCATAGGTTGGGTTGGCCTCACTTTGGGAAGTGAGGCAACCTAAGGTCAAGTGGGTTTGCATTTGGGGGCTCCACCACAATTGGGTTGGATTGGCACCCCACAATGCAAGACTACACCCAAAGTTGGGTGTAGTCCCAACCCAACTGTACACCACAATTGGTGTACAGTCACAAGTGTTAGCATGCTAGAACATACAATTCTAACATCATCTGCAAGGTGTGCTCATCTGCAAGGTGGGCTCATCTGCAAGGTGGGCTCATCTGCAAGGTGGGCTCATCTGCAAGGTGGGAAGGAAGAAGAGGAACTTTTGAAACGCCCCGCTCTTTTTTCGAGCGCCTCGAAAGCGTGT